TTTTACAATATGTCACATTGTGTTCGCACGAATTACACCTAAAACAAATTATTCATTATTCTATATTCAATTCGACGAGTATTTTACTAAATCGAATAGCACATTCGAATCGAATTAGATTAAGAATAAGAAAAAAATCTATTATTCGAAATTATTCGTCTAAAATAATTTACAGTATTAATTTATATTGGAAAATAATCATATAATTATTTGCAAAAAATTCCCTATTGGAATAATGAGGAGAAGCATTTAATATTTCTAAAATTGTTAAGTTATAACTTTAGAAAATTGTACTATGTATGAAAAAAGTATATATTTATATATGCAATTTATAACATGTGTACAATTAGAATAAGTATTTTTAAGTTGATTAATATATCAGGTTTAGTTCAATGAAAAATAGGAAATCTACATAAATTTCAATGGAATTCTCATAATTATAATTATAAAAATTTTAGATCACTATGTAATTAATAATTATCTTCAGCGAAATATCAAGCTTTAATTTATTGTACATAAAGCTCCGATATGATGATTATAGGATCTGCTGATTTTGACATAGATTTAAGTCACTAGTTATGCTTTCCCCATTCCTGAAAATCTGTTTAGGCGTTTTATATTGCTCTTTTGGCCATGCCACATATTTTATAATAATCAATATTTGGTTTATTAAATAAATAGTACCCATTGTATAATAAACGTTTCGGAATCAGAAAAGCATTGGAGAACAAGGTAAAAGTTGACCCCATTTAATTCTACACAGTCTGGAGAGGACGGGAAAAAATATGCAGATATATTGGGAACAACTTGCCAAACATCAACTGATTCTGCTAGATGTAAGATTTGTTGGGTTTAATTTGTTAAAAAAATGACAAACTAAATCTTAATTCCATTAAAAAAAACTTAGAATAATAATTTTATTGAATCATTAATGATGTAAGTAACAGAGTTGTACAAAGGATCTAATAAGTAATAACTAATAAATCTTGTAAATCAATAATAATAATCATACATCATTTATTGAAATATTTGATAAAATTTGGCGTTAAAAATTATTTTAACAAATGAATTTAAATAATTTGTTAAGGCTTTAAACCCTAACATTAGTTGATATAGGTATTCTTATCATTTTTTAACTTATAGAAATAAATTTGCCTCACATTTATAGTCATTCATTTGTATTTATATCTCTCAAAATAATGTTATACAGTTTATATATATTGTAAAAGGCGTTAAATTAGATACATTTCTAAACTACTAGTAAAAATGTTAAACATTTATATTTTAAACATTTTGCAATTCTGTTCTAAAATCAACACTACATATTATTTAACGCCATCTATATAAAAATTATTATAAATATTACAAAACTTTAATAACAGATCTTTCTAAATTGGCATTTTATTAATTACGCCCCTTGTTTTTATCCGACCCGCGGAAAATCTTTATCAGGAATTTAGCACAGCCCGTAAAAAAATTTTGAACTATTAGTCAAGATCCAATCAAAGGCGGAGCTGATTGTTGAGTATTATATTGTTCTATATTATAATAGTTTAAAAATAGAGGGGAAATTAAACAAGTTAATTAATATCTTTATTTATTTTATATATTTTTTTCTTTACAATTTCTATCATACCTCAATTATAAAAATAATTAATAATATATTAAAAATTATAAGCTTAGAACCATGGATTATTGAACGCCTTTACTTATCACTTACTACTACTCTTTATAAACAAATATTTTTTATGGTATGGCAAAGTTGATCTAATAGAAGTTAATTTTATATATTTCTTTAAACAAATCGAATAAAAAGAATTAACAAAGTTCTATTTGTGATGTGAATTCTCCAGATATAATTATGAAAAATTTTACTTAAATTAGATTATCATATATTTTATTTGAATTTATGAAGTATCTAAAGAAAGAAGAGAAGAGAAGAGAAGAGAAGAGAAGAGAAGAGAAGAGAAGAGAAGAGAAGAGAAGAAGAAGAGAAGAGAAGAGAAGAGAAGAGAAGAGAAGAGAAGAGAAGAGAAGAGAAGAGAAGAGAAGAGAAGAGAAGAGAAGAGAAGAGAAGAGAAGAGAAGAGAAGAGAAGAGAAGAGAAGAGAAGAGAAGAGAAGAGAAGAGAAGAGAAGAGAAGAGAAGAGAAGAGAAGAGAAGAGAAGAGAAGAGAAGAGAAGAGAAGAATCCCCTCCAATGGAGAGACTCTATGATTAATTTTTAAGTATATTTTTAATATTTATAACATATATTAAACATCAATTTTTGCAATGATCAATGAATAATCTTTTTTTTTTTTACAATTTTTTTCAGTGTAATAATAATAATCAAAATAAAGTTAAAACATTTATTAAGAGAAATTATTTACATTATAAGAATACAATGCTTTTTAATGAATAAAAACTATAATATTTTATAATGTATTCGAAAAAATTGTTTCTCTATAAGAAAATTCATATATTCCATTATGCCATATAACTATATAAATTTAATCAAATTATTAAAAATTTTATTATCAAATTGCCTTATGATTCGGAATGTAATTATCAACGATAAGTTTCACATTATCTAAAACACCTATGACTTTTTATCTCTGAATATATTAAGAAAAATATTTTTAGAATTACCTAAAAACAGGAGAACTTATTAAACAAAGAGGAAGAGGCCAATGCTACTGTGTATATTGAATCGTTGTATTATGTTTTTCTTATTACTTTATTTATATATGAAAATAATCGACGTGATAGTAAAAGATGCATATTTTTTGCACATTTCGAATAGTAAATAAAATAAAGTTTGAAACATAAAGATTAAGTTATTATATTAAATTTTTCTTTCTAAGAAATGGGTCTCGTTTTTAAAACAAGTACGATTTGATTTTAAAAAGACTTGGTAAAATATTGTCTACACGCAGAGGGTTAGATGATAAGAATCTAAAGGAATTAGACAAAATTTATTGGGAAATCCCCAATTAAATTTTTTAAGTGTGTAGGGCATTATATTGTGCTGTAGAATTTTATGAATACTTTTATTATGCCCCTATTAATATACATATATGCATTCCTAATCATCGCCAAAATCTAATCATCCTCTACATGAGCCTGAGGGGGGATGGGGGTAGGAGAATTTCAAGTTTTCTGAAGGGGTTGGAGCAAGCATTTAAGATGGTAGGATAAACCTATTGAGGGGTCATAACGGTAGAATTATTTTTTAGAGAGATAAATATAGATTTCTGAGGGGTGGGAGCTTTACCTCCAGATAAATCTCTGTCATATAGAAGCTGAGTTCATCTGTATATGCATGCAATGTTTTCAGAAATTCAATTTCGAAATAATTTAAAAAAATTTTTCTATTCACGTAAATCTGATAAATTTATATCATTGTCACAAAGTGGGGTTAATCTGTGAGATATTATAATGACAACATATGTAATAACATTATAAAAACTATATAAAATAATATTTCAAAAACATATTAAAATCTTATTATTATAAACTGTTAAAATATCATGGCTAACTATTTTTTTTAATTGCAATTACCTAAAAGCCTAAAAAGGACTCATACTTATATTTAAACATAATTTAAATTTATTTTCCGTAGAAAGAGAAATCATTCATTATTAAATGTCTAAATCTTTTAGCATAAAAGTAGTAAAAATTGATATGCTAAGAGATTTAGAAATTATAAATATATATAATATAAATAACTAATTAATTAATTAACACATTAAAACGTATTTTGTTATTATAGAAATATGTTTCATTAAGATTAGGCTAAAAAAAAATTAATCTCCATTTGATATTTCATTTTACGACATGACTCTACGTGACACATTTTTACTTAATAATAATCGTTTTCTCTTATTTATTATAAAGTTCTATCTGCTTTGGATGATCATTTCTCTCAAGGAACTAAAATTGATTGAATTGCTTATATTTAATTTGATAATTTTTTAAGTATTCGATATTGAAATATAATAAATTTTTAGCGATTACGAGTAAGCTCTGAACTGAAGACTCATTGCTAAAAAACATGCTACTAAACGGCTTACGACCATTGTTTTGTTTAAACTAAAACTGGTCCGTTCTCATCAGTAACTCTTTTTACAGGGGCTGCTAGAAATACTATTATTCTAATATATGCACTATCAAATCAACAACAATAAATGCAACAAACTAGGACACATTTGTGGTAGTTATCAAGCAGAACATGATTCATGAAGAACCGGCACATGGACATGATGCAGTGGATAGTAACATTACATAAATAAAATATTTTATCATTTAAGCATCTTTAGTATCGAGTTAAATTTTCCAACTTATCGGCCACCTATTAAATGAAAGAAGAATGCCTTTAAATCCTGATAAATTTTATTCTCTAATTCATATTTTTTTTACACTATAATTGAAAAGTGATTTAAATCATTTCAAAAATAATTTGAAAATATAAATCAATATAAACATAAATATATCAGAGTTTATTGAAGATTAATTAAATTAAACCAAAACGATTCATCATAGGCAAGAGATTAGAGAATAAAATAATATATTTCGAGTTTGAAAATATATTTACTAATTACATTAAGGTAATATATGCATAATATTATTGATGACAATTATATAAAATTAAATTATGCAAAATGTATTTTTAATATCGAAGAAATATAATGTCAAGGACATGGCTAAATATTTTTATTTGTAGAGGGCATACTATTATTATAAGTAAGAAAGAGTTTATTGGCTTATAAAAGCTAGACAATTTAAGTAAAAAATTATTTTGATTATAATTTATAATCCTATTTTGGCTAAAAATTTATATAATTTATCAATTTTTATAAAAATATTTTCCCTGCGCGATACAAATATGTTTGTCTAAAAATGTAGACACAACATATTATTGGAAAAAATATTGACTTAATACTATTATTCAAAACAAAAGATGATAAAAATTAATATAATTTGAAAATCAAGGACATTGGAAACAACTTAAAAGCAAAATATTTTGAGAGTTTTAGTTAGAAAAATATTTGGTTACATTCGATATAGTGTTATATAAAAGATTACTGGTTTAATTTATTAATAAACTTATAATGTTACAAATTAATTCTCTATTCCTATGAATAGGTATTATTTTATTTTTAAAAAATTAATTTAAGTTACATATATTTATCATGGCAATTTAGATATTAATTGCTTTTGCATTCATTTCCGCTCGATAACACAATCCAGTATGCCTGAAAGTATGTCTAATATAAATTAATGTAAAGGAATCATTTATTGAATTTTAATCCACTTTTCAAATTTATATATATTATATCTTTTGACCCTCAAAACAGATTCTTGATAATAATTTTCAAAGTTCTAGATCGTTCTACTGCCTTCTAACAAATATTCATCAATTCAAAATTTTTTTTCTTCGCTATTCAATATTCACGATAATTATTTCGAATAGTTAAATAAAAGATTAATATTCGAATCAGAATATTTTCTTGATAATATAATATATTAGATTCGTGAAATCGGAGTAGTAATGAAGAGACCAGGGATGAATGGCCCACTTTTCATTCAATCCTAAATTAATTTACTAATATTGAATTAATTTTTGGTTACTTGAAATAATTAATATATATTTGTAATGACGATACTTTTATTTTAGAAAATTGTAAAAAATTTTTTAAGCATGCCTTACTCTGGGTAGGGGAGACTGGGGTTAGTCGAACCAATTTTTACGAGCTCTTGTTGTTTTATAGATAATATAAAAATAACATTGGATACCTAAAACTATACTCTATAAAGGTGCCTTATAAAAAATCTTAAGAATATAATCATTTTTTTCAAATTTTATTTTTTGTAAAAGTGAAAATTTTGCTCAACAAGCCCCAATGGCGGGGTGAGGCAAACGACTTCAAAGGGCTTCCTAAACGATTGGTTTTTTTAGGCTAAATTGAAATGCATTTTTTATTAATATGTATAGAATAATTTTATTATTTTATTGTTCAAAATATCATAATATTTATAAATAGAAGCTAATTATATATAAAAATTGATCTTAAAAGAAGAGATTAAGATTTCTTAGCATAAATCCTAAATACCAATCATAAACAGTCATGAAATTGCCTTTTCATTTTGAAATGTTTTTCATTACTAACTGCCATAATTGACGTGTATGGTTTAGCAAACCCTCTAGCTCTAAATTGACAAATCATGATTGAAATAATATCTAGATTCGATAAATACTCATAAAACTTACCCAAATTATAGAAGAATGTTTAAAACTTTCAATAAAATTTAATTTACATATAATTGATTAAATATTTAATAGAAATTAAAATTCTGTAATGTAATTATCTTTTGAAAATTTTATCAAAATTTTATTTCTTAAATAAAATTTTTATTAATTAATTATTTCAAAATATATTTTGTCCATAGATGTGTACTAATGAAAACTATATTAGGATAGAATTTTAACCTTCTGGTGTATTTAATTTTAAAATGAGATTAAGCGGTTTGCCAAGCCCCGGGGTTTACCTAACCCCAGTCTCCCCTACATTAGGGACATGTAATAGTTGTTCCACAATAAAATAGAGATCTAAATATATAATTATTTTTAAAAAAAATGTTTTTATAATAATATAGGATTTAAAATATCATATTATTCAATAATCAAGTAAATTAAATGGAATTTGGAGATAATTTTCAGAATTTTTTATAAAAAAATTAAAATAAAATATTATTTAAAAAAATATCCATTAAAAATTACTTCGCATTTGTTTTAGTCAAATTAAAAAATAAATTTACAATAATTAATAGGACCAACTATCTCATGATAAACCATCATATAGTCCACAAGCTTCTTAAATATCATTCAGAGTAATATTAATACATGTTTTATTATCCTAAAAATTTCCAAATTAAAATATAAGGTTTTTAAGATTTTTAAAAGCTTCATATATATATTCTAAACGATAAGGTTTAAAATTATTTTCTGTTACTTTTTCGTATGTTAAAAACATTTTCCTCTGTTAATATTAAAATTCTAAATATTTATCATATCTTTTTTAGATAACAATGTTTGACGTAATTATCTACATTACGCTCAAATTTCCCTTCTTATTAATGAACTAATGTTCCCCTGTACTAAACGTGCCCCGTCCCCTATTATTATTTTGGTAATATATATATATATACCTAGAAATTTGTGTTAAAGATATTCATTATAAACTATAGTTAAATAAAAATATATTATTAACCCTACCCCATGTTTTATAATAAAAATAAATATATAAGACCAGAAAAACTAAATGTCGATCGAAGGCTAAATTTTTGATAATTTATACTGCTCGTTTTTTTTTTGATTAATGAATTTCCATTATTTTGTATAACACAATGTAGCCAAGATCTCATGCTTTCATTTATTATTTTGTTATGAGATTTTAACTGACAAGACTTTATATCTCACGCAATCTATTCGTGACACGCGACAATTGTCAATTTATAACAAAAACATAATATAGGGCAATGAAATAACCTCTGTTACCCAATTAATCCCGTAAAAAAACGAGGAAATTTTGTTAAAAATTAGCAAAAAAATTAAAGAAAGTTATAATTAACTAATTTTTCGAAAATTGACCACCACCCCGCTCTTAGTTGTTATGAGTGTTGATATTTATAAACTTATCAAATCATGTATCATGACTAAGAAAATTTATAATTTTTATAAAAATAAACGAAGATTCAGACAATGTGAGACAAGCTGGATACACGGCTTGGGGTACAGTTAGCGCACAAAGTTTGAAATTGTTTTAATTTAAATTCAATGCTAATATTTATTTTATAATTAAAAATTAAATATTCAGATATTACCCACGTTTTTCAGACCGAAGCTACACCCGATGGGGTTTGGGGCGCATTTCATAAATTATAACTACCATTTCAAGAAATTTAAAGATAATATCTTGAGAAATTATGGGGGAAATGATATAAAAAATTATATTAACGCCTAAATTTTTATTTATTATAATTATAGCTTATTTAAAATAAAAAAGAGTCTTAATTTTAATTATTTCAATAAGTAAGATGACAAGCATTTTTAAATTTAAATATATTATTATTAGCTAGGTGGTTGTTTAAAAATATTGAGGAATAAAATTGGTATACTTCACATTCTGTATATAAAGTTTTGTATTTACGTGACATAGCTGCTTAGAAAAAACATACTGTTGTGGTAGTTTATGAATTGAAAATTTGAATGTCTATTTTTTCATAATTTATATTGTTAGTTCATTACAATTTATTATGTGTATTCCTCTACATGTATAGTTAGCTCGAATCCAACTAAATATACAAAAATACAGCATATTATAAACACTCCACTGCTAAATTATATAACTTGCATTAGCAGTTAAGGCGTATTATCGGTGGATTATATGAAGATATACAAAAATACAACATATTTTGTAAGCTTCGTCACTAATTCGTGCTATCTGTAAATATGTAAATTAGAGGATAATTTAAGATAAGGATGATATCGAGATGATGAATATCTACTGTTAATATTATAACTATTAATTGTTTAATATGTTTTTAAACGTAAAAAAAAACATATTAAAACTTATCTATATTAAAATATTTAAAAAAACAGGTGAGGGATTATGATATATTGTAAAGCATGAAACGAGAATGGAGATAAAATTAAATCTACATATCTCGAAAGATATTCTTGTAACAGGGTTTAAATTTTCTTTAGGACCCTGGGTTGAAGTTAATGCTTAATATTTTTAAAAATAGGGCCAAATTCCCAAATTAATTCGGGAATATTTGTTACGTTTGGATGTTTCGACAGCCGCAATGACTGCATATTATGCAGTCGATTTTGCAAACGCGTCCATACAGGTATAATCCCATATCAGAAATAACCTTTGAAGGAGGAAGAGTTTTTCCATCTGATTGTTGAGTGATTTTTAGACCGATTTTAGCTCTAAGGTGGAAGGAATATTGTTAATAGTAGTACCTTGTGGATTAGGTTGTTGATTGCTCAGTGGCGGGGGTGTCTACCCTTAGAAAATTTGCAGTGTAAGTAATAATGGCTTTTGCTGTTAACCGGAGTGTAGCAAAGGGAGTATGAGAGAGGTATGTGTTAAGTTTTAACAGAGGATGGTTTCGAGCCATTACATTATAGTTTTGATAAAAAGAAAAATTAGAATAACTTTGATTTCGTGTTTGAAAGGAAAAATTGACGAAACGCGCAATTATTAGAGTCCCAATCTTCTTAGAGGAAACTTGTTGGAAGAAGTCTGTTAGGTAATATATTAGTGTCCCATGTCGAAAAAGCTTTCTGGAGGTTAGAGTGTTAATTGGTTTATTAATTCATCGGAAGTGATACGCGTTAAATTAAAAGCTGAAAGTGATAAAGATATTGGAAATCGGATTACGATTCGATGAAAAGAAGAGATTCTAGGGAGTGTTAGATCCATTTATTTTAATATATGTGTCGTAATTTTTAAAGAAATCCCGTCAAGAATTCAATTTTTTAAAGGATTAAGAACTATACGGTATTATCACATTTTAATCGTGATAAAGAGGAATCTTATTTTAAAAGCGTTTTATGCGTGTTTCGTTTTTTTTTTTTTAATTTTATTGCTATTTATTAATTTTCAATGTTGTTTTTTTTTTGGCCTTATGAAATAAGATATGTCTAATGTAGGGTATCAATCGATAGTTAATCAAAAGATCTATCTTCCCCTTAATGGGCGAGTCTAGGTTTTGGGGGTCAGGAATATTTTTATCAAAATAAAATATCGATATGGGTATCAAATAATAGCTAATTTTAATATCTTTTGACTGAAAGTCTTCATTCTTGGTCTTGATGGGTATGATTTGGTCTGGGGTAGATGTAGAGGGCGGGGGTATAAAAAAAATTTTTTGAAATGGGTATCAAACACAAGGTAATTTAAAATATTTTTTGATTGTATTAATAATAATTATTCATAGTTTGCGGGTCTAGGTCTAGGGGGGTCAGGAATATTTTTATCAAAATAAAATTTCGGAGTATTAAATTAAAGCTAATTTAAATATCTTTTAAATTGAAATTATTCATTTTTTATGCTTGATGATTATGACTTGAAAGTGGATGGAATATGGGGGTCGGGGGCTAAAAAAGTTTTTTTTTTGATATGGGTATCAAATAAAAGGTAATTAAAATATTTTTTTTATTGTAATGATAATAATCACTCGTAGATGGCGGGTCCGAATCATTTTACAATTGTGAATATATGTTTTCGGAGAGAACGAAATATAAAATTGGCAACACAATATTGTGGAAAGGTAACAATCTATCTCGATTGACTAGTGTCTGAACATCCTCTATGCATAAACGATTGTAATTGGAAAACTGATTGGCGTTGGGAAAGATCCCATTGGGAAATACCCCGTTAGATTATTCTGGAAAGAAGTTTGGACAAAATCGTTTGTGCCGACTCCAGTCAGAATAATTGCAAGATTGGCTGCAATAAAAGGCTTTGCTGCAGCAGGTAGCAGTAAATAAAGCAGGCTTCACACAAAAAAAAACAATTGTTGATGAGAGATGGGAGTGGATATTCTTGAGGGATATTTCTTGCTAAATTTGTGGATCTTTGCAATACTTATTTAATAAACACACTATAAAAACTAAAATAGAATACCCTCGGTTTAAAATCTAATTAGAAATGGGCTAAAACATAAATAAGTTTTAAAAATTAGTTAAATCCAAGGCTCCACCTTTAATGAGGGAAAAAATAAATTATTAAAATAAAAAGAATATGTTCAATTTTACGATAACAAAAAAAATATAATAATAAATGAAGTCTGTCTAAAACATGATAAATTTGTTAAGGGTATTAGGGTCTCACCATTTTTTTAAATGGGTTAGGGAACAGATCTGTCTGGAATTAAAATTAGTATTGTTGAAGCAATTTCAGATCACACCCATATGTAATTAGACAGGACATACTAAAAAAAATTTTAAAGAGAGTTTTCGACATAAGGGCAACGTTTTTATACGAATTATATTATTTAAATAATATAATTTTAATGTTTTTAAATAATATTCTTTTTAGAGTTGAAAATTAAATTATCAATACTAAAAAAAAATTTATAATATTCTTTTTAGAGTTGAAAATTAAATTATCAATACTAAAAAATAATTTTTTATTTCTTGTAAATGACTTGTCAGGACGATTTATCTTCATATTAAAATGTAAATTTTTATAAAAAATATAATGACAAATTTTATTAAAATTATTATTTAATATTATATAGTAAAGGGGTAAGAACACAATAATTAATTTTAATAGAAATATAATAACTACAAAATATAGGCAAAACTTTTTTTTCGATAAATATTTAATAAATGGTCATAATTCTATGTTCCTTATGGTAAGTATCCCATTTATATATATTGTATTAGTAATTAATACTTAATTATTTTAAAAAAAACAGATGTTCCTTGTTTTAACTTTCGTTTTTTCATCGATAACACAATGCCGAGTATCTGGGGATATGTCTACATAAATCTAATTTTAAAATAAGTTGGTAATCTCACATTAATTTAACCAACATTATTTTTTATGCTCCTACTTTTCATTAGCCATCATCTATATTTGAAGTAAATTTCCAGTAAATTACTTAGGGATAAAAATTATTTAGTCTAGCCTACGTTCGTTCATGGCGAGCTTTAATATTAAAAAAGTAATGGCAAGACATAGAAATAGTGTATCCCTTCAATTTTATGAAGAAAATTATATTATATTGTAAAGAAATCATGAAGACATTTTTTTCTAAATTTTACCTTAGTTCAAATAAATATCCCTAATTCTATTTATAAAATAAATAGGTAGTACTACTACAAAATATGAGTTTTAGCAGGATTCCATTTGCATTTATAGTTTACAATACATAAAGGTAATTATGTTTAATATAATGAGTCGTAAGTAAAAATAAATATAATAACTTTATTTACAAGTTTTTTCACTATTACAAACCGAACATTTATATAATAACAATTTTATTTTCTTAGAAGATTTAGGAGTTCAAATGATCATCGAGAAACAATTAAATATAGTTAAAAAAAATTAAAATATTGATTTATATTTTTGTATTATCTTAAACATATTGTTCAAATTTTACAATCATTTAATATACATTTGATTTAAATTCTTCCTCAAAATTCAAGATCTATTTTTTTTAACATAAAAACACCATTAGAATAGTTATTTAATTACCCCACACATTCCTGCTTTAAAGCAAAAGTAAAAAAATTCTTATTTATAGCAAAGGCAACTGTAATTTGAGTTTCTAAGTTGTCCAGGAGTGTTAGAACCGTTAAATTTTTATATTTCTTACTTTAAACGATTATATATTTTCTAAGTATTAATTAGTTTTGATTTAAAAATAAATAAATAAATGATTTGGATCTTGTCAGAAGTAGTTATGTATTTCATTCCTCACCTACGATTTCTCACTTTTTGAAACGTCTTGGAAAAGAGATTCTCTCAGCTGATCAAGGCTTTAGGATAATAAATCTTTCAGCATTATAGGGAGATTTATTTTTTACCCCGAAAATTTATGTGATTTGTATTATCGTAAAAAAAAAAAATTAAAAAATGTCTTATATTTGAATATTTTATTTTCTAAACATCTTTAACAAACGAGTGTTTTAAATTTTATTATCTTCTCAGATAATAATAAGCAAATTATACAAAATATTATATTATATATATTTATATTCTTTCTTTCTTTCTTTCTTTCTTTCTTTCTTTCTTTCTTTCTTTCTTTCTTTCTTTCTTTCTTTCTTTCTTTCTTTCTTTCTTTCTTTCTTTCTTTCTTTCTTTCTTTCTTTCTTTCTTTCTTTCTTTCTTTCTTTCTTTCTTTCTTTCTTTCTTTCTTTCTTTCTTTCTTTCTTTCTTTCTTTCTTTCTTTCTTTCTTTCTTTCTTTCTTTCTTTCTTTCTTTCTTTCTCTCTCTCTTTCTTTCTTTCTTTCTTAAGAGAATGGCAAAATTTAACAAAAAAAACACAATGACTCAGGAAAAATGAATGATAGTAAAAATTATATTAAATAAAATTCTAATTCGTGACTCTAATATGTATAGTTACACTTGGAAATTGGAATGGCTTTTGAAATATGAACCCGCACCATGTAAAAACTGATTATGGAAAATTTCGCAATTTCATAATTTTATAGTAAATCTAGAAAATAATTTTGTTTAATTTCTTTAAATTTGATAAAACGGTTACCTTATTTTTCAACTTCGATATAAAATCATCTCATATTTTATAAAGCAAGTAAAAAGCTACAAAATAAAATTCTCAAAAAATTAATTATAAATGAAATTCAATTTTTTTTTTATTAAAATTCATATACAAATATGATAAAATATTGTTATTTAAAAAATTAACATTAAAATATAGAGAATATAATAAAATATGCAATATATCAATTTAAGTTAAAAAAAAATAATATTTTTATAAAAATAAAAAAAAAAAAATTAAAATTAAATGGCGAGGTCGTACCATGATGTTTTAAATATTTGATAATTAGATATAATTATAGATACGGCGATTTTCTGCTTGAGTTTGTAAAATGGAGAACGGTATGATTTTTTTATTGATTTGGATATTGTTTTGAATAGATCTTAAGCCGCTTGTCCAAAAGAGCAGGTTGATTTAGCTGCTATTGGAACAAAGTGGTTTTCACACATTAGGTGAGCGAGTATTTTATATTTTTTAGAGATTCGGCTCTGTTAAGGGGATCATGGGAATTATTAGGATGGAGCCATGGGATCAATGAGAAAAGGCATACTCTATTAACTAAAATTTTCAAATATTTTATTTTTTTATAGAATGTCCTTAACTGTCATATTACTTTAATTTTAATCATCATTTTTTTTTGAATAATAGTATTGATGTCTATTATTTCTCCAAAAATAAGGTGTTTTACATTTTTAGATAAACTTATTTATATCGCATAGAGATAATATTTTTATAAAAATTGCTAATTTAATATAATTTTTTAGCCAACAAAGTATAACAAATTATAATCAAAAAGAAATCGTCTAGCCTTTATGCCAATAAACGCTGTCTTACTTATAAAATAATATGCCCTGTCCAAACAAAAATATTTAACGATGTCCTTGACATTATATTTCATCGATAGTAAAAATACATTTTGTATAATTTAATTTTTATATACCAATAAAATTATGCATATAGCTTAATGCAATTAGTAAATATATTTCAAACTCGAAATATATTATTTTATTCCCTAGTCTATTTCCTACGATAAATCGTTTTAATTTTAATTAATCTTCCATAACTCTGATAATTTTATAATTGTTATTTTTTTTATTAAACCACTTTACAATTATTCTTTCTTTCTTTCTTTAGGATTTAGATGAATTCTTCTTTCATATAAAATGTGGCCCGCAAGTTGAAAAATTTTAAAAGAGAAAATATTTTATTTACGTAATGTTAAGGCCTCCTATATCATATTTATGTACAGGTGGCATAAGTCCAGCCTACCTAATGCTCTGCTTAATAATTTCCGCAAACTTGTCCTAGATTGTTGCAATTATAACATTTTGTTGATTAGAAATCGCATATATTAGATCTTTAAAACTCCCTGTAGAAAACTTAGGGAATGTCAACAAACCAGTTTCACTTTAGACATTAAACGTCTTAGTAATTCATTTTTTAGCAATCAGTTTTCGCTTTAGAGCTCCGTAGTAACAGATAAAATTTTATTATATAAGCAATTCAATCAACTTCAGTTCCTTGCGAAAAAAATGATTATCCAGCAGATAAACTTAATGAATAAATAAAGATAAAACGATTATGAATTAAAATCTGTTATGTGTTATCGAATCATGTCTTAAAATGAAATATCAAATGCAGATAGACCAATCATAATGAAGCTTGTTTTATTGATATGAGATACGTTTTAACGTGTTAATTAGTTATGCAAATTATATACTTATTATTCCTATATTTAACATTTTGTTATTTTTATATAGGTATCAATTCTACTTACACAACATACCATCTTAAGGCAATTTGATAATAAAATTTTAATTAATTTTTCAATGAAATTTATATTTCTATAAGGAATGAGAGAGATTAATCACTTTTCTAGGAAGAGAAATAATCTTTTCGAATACATTATGAATTAATAGTTTTTATTAACTAAAAAGGTATTTAAAATATTATAAAAAATTAACCGTTATTTGTTCAACGATGCCTATCACAGAAATCATTTGATTATAAATCTGAGAGTATGTAAGTGATAAAAAATGTCATTTTATAATCAAAACCACGACTGGGTTCTAAGCTAATAATAATTTTTGCAAGTAGATTATTTTTATACTCAAGATTTAATAGAAATCGTAAAGAAATAAAAAATATAAAATTAGATTTTAATTAACTTGTTTAATTTCTCACCCATTTTTTAAGCCTTTATAAATATTGAACAATCTAATGCTCTACAATCAGCTACGTCTGTGATTTTTGGATCATGAGAAATGGATCATAAATTTTTTACGGGCTGGGTGAAAATCCTGATAAAGAATTTTCACAAGGCGGAAATAAAAACAATAGAAGATATTCTTATAGAGATGGTGTTAAATATTTTATGTTTATTTTAGAAAATAATTGCAAAATGTTTCAATAATAAAAGTTGATAACGTGTTAATTTTTTTTTTTTATTACTACTTAATTTAGAAAGATTATTCAATTTTAATAATGCCTTCTCTGATATATATAAACTTGTAGATATTAATTTTTAAATGACTATAATCGTGAGTAAAATTTGTTTATATAAGTTAAAAATGATAGTAATGGCTATATCATCCAACCAAAATATCTGTTATAAAAACCCGAGGTTATAGCGAGACGTAGTTTTATTTTCTAGAGTTTTAGTGTCTAAGGGATACCAAAACTATATAATTTATATAATGCATATGCGGATACAATTTTTACTTCTAACGGACAGCTTAAAGAGTTTTCATAAACGCATTAAATTTTATTCATTTCCTATAACAATCAAAGTTTTTAAAACTAACCCCTCCCATCTCCCAACTCTGTAAATGATTAAAATGTAGAGATTTTTTTTAAGGAAGGAATTAGGATTTAACCTGTCAATTTGTGATATTAATACGGAAATAGAAATTAATTAACCCTGGGGGTGTAGATAGAAAATATGTCATGCAAATTATCACTAAGGATCTTGTATATCTAAGATAGAAATTATTCAAAAAATATCTGTTATCTATCTCAATCCATTTTTGCATTCAAAAAAGGTACAGATACTTTTAATTAAAAAAAAATATATTTTTTTAAATTCTATTAAAAATATTTAAAAATTTAAAAAGATTTAATATTTTTTTAAATAAAAATGTATACTATATAAACGGCGTCTTAATGCCTCAACAAGTTTTCCCAACCATAAAAATTCTAAAGAGGTTTACCCTGAATTCCCGGAGAAGAATACAAAAATAGGGAAGACCGGGGAAAAAAGATTGGTATTTTAGATTTTGCCATAATATTTCGAAAAATTAACTAAACAGAAAAATTTATTTACATATAGATAGTTCTAAATTTGCATTTACCAAATATACAAAAGTGTAGCTCTTTATTGATAATATCTTAGGGAGCTGTGTTTAATTATGTGAAGTATGCCATTTTCCGCTATTTTACCCCATGCCCAAGGGTAAAGTGACTAAGTAAGCATTAAGGTAAAGTGGTTAGATCAAAATTGAACATAACTATAGTATGACCATAAATATAAACTAATCAGTTACAATATCGGAATGTAAAAAATAGCACATATAGAGTATGCCCATTTTAGGCATAAAGTACATTTCAATTATTCTTCCTCTTTGCGATTATTCTTAAAATTTATTCCAAACCAAAACTATTTGCTCAAAATATTTATTTTTATATGGTGTAATTAATATTTAAGTTAACTTTTTACAGCTTAAATTGGATTTAACATTTTAACCGTTATACCTATAACAATTAACCCCATACTTAATTTTATAGCAATGGCTTTAAGGAACATGTATACAAATTTTTGAATTTATATTTCGGTATAAGCAAGAAAAACTAAAGAGAAATTTTACAATTTTTGAGTAAAAAAAGGTTTTTTGGTAAAAAATTTTCCAAAATTTTTTTTAAAAAGTTAAATAAAAAGGATAAGAAATCAAATTAGACATAAAAATGCAACTTCACACCACAAATTTAAAGTATTTATGCTCAAGGGTTAAAAAATTTTAATATGGATAACCCGTCAATCACTTATCGGACTCACCTACAGTATTTGGCCGTGAAATCGCTTTAACTGTAAAAATTCAGGATTTCAATAAGACTCTTGGGGTTAGCTTGAAATTTCAGAATCTTTCTTATTTGATGACCCTGTAATCTTTATGAAAATTCATTTATTATCAATTATTTCTTATATTATAAAATTCTCTTAGTTTTTAATTTATATATTTATATTGAATCTCGTTTTTTAATAACTTTGAGAAAAATCTTATAGCAAAATTGATTACACTTAATTTTTAAAAGTTGGTATCACTTTGTTTATATTTTTCGTTTTAGTTGCGATTATTCAAATACAAATAAGGGGTTAGTTATCGCTAAATATATATTAAATATATTATATTATACTTATATCTATTTTGTTGTGTTTAGGAACTTATAAATTATCGAAAAAAACAATATGAAACTGAACTAGTCAATATTCAAAAATAAAAAATGAAATTAATATTTTGTAAAAATTTTATGACAGGTAAGGACACAAATAAAGAACAAAATAATTAATTTAAAATAGAAATCTTATTTCGTTTATATTTTTATATATAATAATTGGTAATAATTTATTAATTTTTTTTTTTAATAATTCAATATGTTTTTATTAAAAAATTTCTATCATAATATTATCTAAAAAACAGTAATATAAAAAACTTATAAAATGTTAAAAATGAATTCTCATTTATTAAGGGTAGGCATCATATTATAAAATAAATATAATTACATATAACTTAATACTATATATAAACCAGATATTCATCATCTTAGCCTTCATTTGTTTAGCAATGATTCGATGCCGAGTGCCTGAAGGTAATTGTATATAAATCTAATTAATTTATTATGTTAATAATCTGCTATTCGCTAGTTGATTCTCGGTATTTTAGCCAGAAAATCTAAGCCTTAAAATTTTGTTAATAGATGTTCAGACCTATGGGTCATCTATTGGCTAAATCATCGGGCTTGCATAATATTTTACTGAGTTACTCGTTTCTAGGGATAGGTTTAAATAGAGCTGTTTAACAAGTCTAGTTGATTTCTATTTAATTCCAAGTTAAAATTAATAATTTTTTTTATTTATTTCTATTGCGAATACATGTGACAAGTTATTTTAAAAAAAGTTTAAATAAATTTTTTAATGTAAATTGTTTGTATGGGAAAACTAAAATTTCGTATATTATTAGGCACACCTAATGAATTACATAAGTGATTATGTATTCAATATTTGAAAAGATAATGAAAGGAAATCTTATAATCAATTTGATATAACTACTTGTTTAAAAAATGCTTAAAAATTATTTTAATGATTGAATTGTCAGTCTGAAGTATTATATGTCACTGGGTGTCATAAGTTCTAGTTTAGTTTACTTGGTTAAAATTATTCAAAAAAAGATAATAAATTTTTGTATATGAATTTGGTAATTACCTTAATCATAAAAGTGAGTTAAAATAGATAAATTTTAAGTATCATAAAATAACAATTAGTATTGATAACAGCTCGCAGACTTCTTCTCATAGATGGCTAAAAGATTTGGAAATTTATTAACAAAATCTAGAGCCATGCGTAGTACTATTTTGGGTAAGTTCTTTTAAAATTAACTTATTTGAGTCGCTAAGTAACATTGTTTACAATGCATTTTAAGCTTATACAACATTGTTTAATCGATGAACTAAATATATTAGTTTCATAAGTCATAACATACCAAATATTTAAATCGTATAAATTTTTTAACATAAAATAATTATTTTCCTAGAGGAATATACACAAGTTCAATCTAGCAATGATCAAGAAGTGAGTATGACTGGTAAAAGCTTGAATATATTTTGTGATAAATAAACCTTAAAATGCCGAACTTTTATTTATGATATCATGGGTTGACAGAAGTTTTACTGGCTATAGATCCTAAGACACTAAAAAATTGGTTGCCAGAGTATTATAGATTTTGGTTATATTGATCTTACCCATTTTCGGTAAGAATTAAAGTTTTCAAAACTAACCCCTCTTTCCCCATTCCATCTCTGCAAATGATTAAAATTCAGAACTTAAAGATACCAGTCAATTTGTTATATTTATACGCGAAATAAAAATAATTAACCTTCCTAGGAGGGTAAATAGAAAATCTGATTTAATATGGCCAACCATCATTAAAGATTATGTGTTTAAGATAGAAATTATTTTAAAATTAATATCTGTATTTTAACAATTTTGCATTCTAAAAGATATAGATATATTTTTAATAAAAAAAATTACATTTTCTAAATACTATTTAAAATATAATATAATAATAATTTTAAAATTTGTTAATGATATATGAATGTTGGTCGTTATATCACAATTTGCGAAATAACTTATCCATATTTTAAGCGAAAGCAATTTTTCTTACACCAGAAGAATTATAAATGCGAATATAAATTAAGCATATATATTAAATGTAAAAATATTTTGATATTCACACAACAGTTTAAACTTTATTTTAATTATTAAAATAAACTTTGATTTAATAATTTGAATTTAACCTTGAATCGATTATACAAAAAAATTTGCAGGGTAAATTTTGCAATAAAACATCCTTAAAGCAACTTAGGTGCCAATGTACTCCAAAATTTTTTAAAGATTTCAATAAAAGTAATAAACTTGAAAAATAATAGAAGAGCAATGGCATGAACTATTATTATTTATTTCTCAAAAAATTTTTCTAAATATTGAAAAAATATAAATATATAAAATATTTAGATGATGTTAGAAGTATATATTTATGGTCTACAAGAACAACTATTCACCATATTCTTTTTGGACCCTGATCAACAAGATATGGAGCTTTTGATGCAATTGTTTCAGCAATTTGATAAGACAGAGAAAGAATCTTTTATATTTAAATATTTTTTATCATTTATAATTATTGGTATTAAAAAATTGTAAAATATTATTTATTTTTTATAATAAAAAAAAAATATCTGATAACCAGCAGGTTCAGAAAATCTTCTTTTTTTAAAAAAAAAATATTTGTTTTTTATTTTTACAGATTTTTGTTTAGTTTTTTTTTTTCGTTTTTGTTTTTTTGAATATTTCAAGCGAAGATTTGTTTTAGGTTCAAACACTATTAGCCAATATATAAATAGAAAAGAAAAAGGGAACTAGAAAGGCACAAATATCGTAATAATCTTAATGTTTTAGCAAGTTTTTCCAACCATAAAAGTTTCTAAACGAGTTACCCAGAATTCGCGGTGGCTGAGAATTTTTGGTGAAGAAATACAAAACATCGGGGTAAATAGTATTTTGCCATTTGCCATAATATTTTGAAACAATTGCTAAATAGTCAAAACTTTTATCTATAAAATTTTTTTTTTAAAAAAAGTGTAGCTATCTACTTCAGGAGCTGTGATCAATTATATGAAGTATGTCATGCCATTTCACCCCATATCCAGGATAAAGTGGCTAGGCATTAGGGTAAAGTGATTAAAACCAAATTGAAACTATATTATATAATTGAACAAAATACTTCAATTTTTATATCCATAAGTATAAACTAATCAGTACAATTACCAGAATGTAAAATAATTATATCCAAAAATGGCATTTCAATTATTCTTCTTCTTAGCAACTATTCTTAAAGTTTTATTCCAATACACGATGTTAATATTTAAAAGTTAACTTTTTTAGAGCTTAAATCAGATTCAACATTTTAACCGTTTTACCCATAATAATTTTACCTCAAGGTGATATATATATTTTTACAAATCGTTATTGCGTGACCTTTAAATATGCTATAAACTTCTGTATACTTAATTTTATAGCTAAGGATTTAAGGAAGATGCTTCAAGATTTTTAAATTTATATATTGTAAAAGCAAGTCCCCGGAGTAACATTGTGGGTTAATGATGTATGCTTGGAGCATAGGTCCCAGGTTCAATCCTGGTAAGGAACATAAATAATTTCAGGTTTTTCTTTGATGACAGATATGTAAGGATATATGCTAGGATAAATTTCTGAGCTGGGAAATGCCACCCCGGTCACCGACAGGCTTGGACAGCAGATGCTAGGATAAGTCTAACAAACCAAAAATGAAAGATGGCCAGCAATCTCGTGGGCCATTCAAGGATGATAGAAGGAACCTATAAGAATACTCCGGTAGGATATCTGTCAATGGAATACTCTGGTAGGATATCTGTTGATATGTGAGATCAAGATACAATGATGGCGATAGGTGTAGATACAAATGGAATATAGATGAAAAATCAGGTGGGAGATATCAGAGATGAAAAGCGGTAGATAGCATGAATAATAAAAGTGGAGAGAGATTTGAAAGAGCTTACCACCAGAAAAAGGTGAAAGTTAAAGAGAAAAAAAAATCTAGAAAATATTTTTTATAATTTTTGGGTATAAAAAACCGTTTTTTGACAAAATATTTTAAACCAAAAAGGTTTATAAAAAATTGAATAAAGTGTAAGAAATTGGATATGGCCCCAACACTTTAGCCATAATATTGTGTAGAGATTTGATGAATAGAGGTCCAAACCTTTCTGCCATCAATGTGCTAAATCTTCAGGCTTTACATAATATTATTTTGGGGTAAAATCATGATTTGGTCGTTTTTAAGAGTCAAGTTCAACTAATTAGGATTATTAAGTATTTGGATCTCTGCATTCATCGGAATATATTCTTTTATGTGCAACTATTTCCAAGGTAAATTCACATTTCTTTATTATGTTACCAGTAGTAACATTTTCATAGGCGAGCATTTTTTAATTGTTTTTTTTATACCACCCATACCCTTTGTTCAATAAAAATTTCAAAAATAAAAATCCAAATTGAAGGTGGGTAGTAATTTAGAAATTTTATTGCATGATTTATGCAAATAAGAATATCAATATTCTTTGCCTGAAGCTAGAGCGAGGCTGGGAAATTTGTAAAAGATAATGTTTGCAACTAATAAAGTTTTAAGTTTTAATACTTTTTCAAACAATTGAATAAACCCTGTAAATAGTTTTAGTAGCTTGAAATGATTCTATCTGAAATATTTGGTAAGCTACTTATTTTATGAGGTAACTAGACCCTGTTACAGCTTTTTCTTGATCACACCATTTTGTTTAGTCTTATACCTCTGTCACCTTCGTAAATTTTTTCTGGCCTGTTAATTTCCATCCTTAGATCTGCATATGTTAAATCTTTTAGAGAACCAATACAAAGTCATCACCTCCAGAATTATTCCAGAAATCACATAAAAATAAATTTAAGATAGATATGAATTTAACGTTCATTATATAGGTTAGGAGCTTCTTCTTTACTATGAGGCAGTCCTGTAATAGTTTAATTTCGACTTACTGATCACCTTTAAATCTTAGATATATACCAAAATTAATTTGATCAATGTTGCATGCCATAAAAATTATTTGATTATAAATCCGAGAGTAGCAAGTGATTAACAATGTCATTCAATAGTCAAAAACCATGAGAGGGTTCTAGGGGTATAATTTTAAATATAATAAAATTATATTTTATACATATGGTATAATAGAAATTGTAAGGACAAAATATAAAAAATAAAATATAAATCAACTTGTTTAATTTCTCAGCCATTTTAAGGTTCTTATAAATATAGAACAATCCAATACTTTGCAATAAGTTCCGCTTATCATTTTTGGATCTTGATAAATAGTTCACGAATTTCCACAAGACGAAAAAAACAAGATAGGGGCCATTTTAGAAAAAGCTATTATTTATTCAAAATTATATTATATATTGGTATATTTTATTATACATTATATAATCATATTTAGTAATAAAAAAATAGATGGGGTTAATTAATTTTTGTTTATTTTAGAAAGTAATTTTAAAATATTTTAAAAATAAAAGTTTAAAGCATGTTAATTTTTATAATTGAATAAAGATTATTCAATTATGAAAATGTCTTTTATAATATATATAAACTTGTGCTTTATACTATTTAGAGATATTTAATTATAAACGACTATAATCGGGGGTATGTTGATTTGTATAAATTAAATCTTAATAATTAATGTTATAAATCGTTTATAAAAATATATATACTTTGTTCATCCATAATATAATTATTTTCTAATCTTAACTTGACAACTATAAGCTCTTTTTAGAGCCATCGAAATTTTTAAAATTTACATTTTTGAATTATTAAATACTTCATCATTTCATTAGAAAATTTTATTAAATTGGGATAATTCTTACAAAATAATTATTGTCCAATATAAATTAGTACTATTATATAAAATATTTTAGACCAACAATTTGATCGAATATTATATTCTAACAAAATCTATTCGACTTTGTATTATTCGATAACGTAAAATACTAATCTAATTGAATATCGAAATAATGAACAATTAGTTTTTTAATGATCTAATGATCCATTTTATTGGCCGAACCTTTTCACTCCACACCTTAAAAATTCTCCAGGGGCAGGTAATTTTTTTAAAACGATTATTCTTTATTTTCTAAACCCTCCTCTTCCCCACCCCTATAACATCGCACCATTAAAATATTTTCCTGATGAAGTTAAACTTCTTTTTTTTAACGATCATGTATTAATGTCTCATTTGCCCATCTCTCCACTACACCCTAATATTTCCCAAAGAATTTTTCTGTTTAAGTCCATTTATTATTGTTTCAATTTTTTCGTCCTACAAGCCCACTTTAATTTCTTTTGTTCTCACCTTATGCAATAATATCATTCATTCTCTCCATTAACTTATTCTTTTTTTTATATTATTTTTCTTAAATTTAACAAACCCCCCCCCCCCCTAATTTCTCTTGTTCTTAATAACACTTCTAATACTTTATGTATCTAATTTTATTTGACTATTTACCAAACCCCCTAATTTAGAGTTGTTCATGATAATACTTCTTATAAGCTCATATGTCTTTCTTCTTTTTTTTTTCAATTGATTATTTTTTTTCCCCATTTCCCTTGTTAATATCTTTTTGGTTTCTTTTTCTCCCATTCAAAGCCATGTCATGGTAAATACTTGTAATGCATGTTTAAAAATAATTTTAGCTTAATTTAAATGGCGTTTTAGGAAAACATGGCTCACCCGCTCCTCAATTAAAATTTCCACTCTCCTCTCTCCCGGATGCTTTTATTAGAGCTTCTCTTTCGTACGAAACCCCATTCCTGTATGTTGTTCCTCGAGCTCTATTGATTTATTTCTTGATTCACCTAAGCTCCCAGTTCTTTCTAGGATCCCTATAGCTGCCCGAGAATCGATCTCAAGGTCCTGACATATCTTTTGAATAATTTAAACTCAGATTTCTCCTCAACACCCTTTTGGTTAGAACTAATTAGTTTTTGTTTTAGAGTTTTAGTTAAGCCCAAGAATAGAATAAATAACTTATCTGCCTCAAACAAAGAGAAAGTGTCCAATTTTAGCAATACTATTATTGATAAATTTTCTCCATCTTACTCTATAAATCCTAACTCTTGAGATCTTGGAGATATTAACTGCGCTGCACGATGATTGACTTCTGTTGATACTATGTCCCCCATCAACGTCACTACCCTTCAATAACTTCTCGTTGGATTTAATTTTTCTCTAGGGCATTATAATTTATTAGCTAAAAATATTTTTAAAAAAATGTTGTAAAATGGCAATATACAAAATTTTATAAAAATCATGACTGCCACTTATCAATCAAATGTGATTGATAATAATCTTTAAAATAATTCCAATTTAAATTAAAAATTTTGTAATATATAATAACTTACACAATATCTTATATGCATAGAGTCATGAGGCTCGAACAGATTAGGTTCAAGTTCGGCTAAATGCGGTTTAGCTTAGGGTAAGGTTTAATAAAACATTCCGGTTTAGCGGTTGAATTTGGAGCAAACTCTTCCATAAAATTTGTTTTTTTAAGAAGCGAGTTTTAT